AAATAAGGTCAATGAACTTCTCAGTTATGTACAATTTCTGCTATTCCATCTCATAAGCAGGACAACAAGAGATTTTTTTCACCAACAGTTCATGATTTCAGGAAAGAAGCAGGTAGAACAATTATGATAATTTGTCCCTTTCAAGAAAGAAGAAGCAAGTATCATAATTAAGAGTGTGACTTTTCAATGGTATAGTTAACAAAGGTGTCAAGTACCTGGTGGCTGAAGTGTTGATTCAAAAGAAGAGCTCTAAGATGATCTGCTTTACAGCTGGGAAATTGAATGGTTATGCCTTTTATAAATATGTAGGATCATGGCACCAAATTTAGTCAGTGCATTTCAGTTTCTCTCCCAGAACATGTCTAGAATGTTATTTTTCAGAATCCCTATCCAAATTCCAGCAAAATCTAATAAAAGGATTTCTGTAGGGGAAGTTGTGTCTGTAACATGCTGGTTAATAACCCTTAATTGATCCTTTCCTCTGATTTTTTTTTTGTCGTGCATGACATTCTGTAACAATGTGTTTCACAATTTAATTATGTACTACTTTAAAAATTACTTCCTGTTTGTTTGAAAGTCTCATAATTTCATTTCATGATCCCAGTTATTATTTGGCAAGTAAAGAACAAATAATTTTTGTTTCATCTTCTGTATGTAACATTAATTTATGACCGATGAGAGGATTTGAACTGCTGTAATGGAATGTCATTGTTAGAAGGGTCTCTTAAATTTTTTGTTTTGTTGAACATTACAAATGCTACATTTTTAGCTTGCATGGAAAAATTCACCTTTTAAAATTATTTTAGTAAACAATTATTTCCTATACATGGGAGTTGTTAGAGAAATTTTTAGAAGTTTTGATTCTCTGTGTCTTAATATTTGAGGGTTTGTTTGTGTTCCAGTTACATTCTCATAAGACAGCTCCTTATCCTTGATCTCTCCAGAGCTGTACTTGGGATTAGATGAAGAACAAATTTACTTCCTGAACATTATTATACTTTTGCAGGTGCATATTACAAAAAAATGTGAGCTTGAATCTGGGGCAGTTATATTTGAAGAATTTATGGTAATAGTAGAATTCTGAGAATGTATGACTAAAATGAAAAATCTTATTAAAATGCTTCCTTTCTTAAAGGAAGAAAGAAATCTGACTGGATTTTGAGTTGTAACTATCCCATGTTTTTGGTCTACTACCTATGAAAACTAGGGAGAGTTCTAGACTGAGCCGTATCTGCTTGTAGTGAAATATTCTCCTGTTTTCCAATTTCTTTATTCCATGTTCTTTTTCAGACATTTTAAGTGACTTCAGTGATAAATATGGTTGCCTCCATGCATAGCCTAGGGATAAAGAAAATTCAGTCAGTGAAGTCTTTGGTAAAGCACTGCATCTAAGAAAGTGCTGAATACCATTCTTGTTGTCTGGTATCCAACCATAACCACAGTGAGAGGGAAAGAAAGTCACCGTACACTTCAATAAACTGCCAATACATTCTCAAAGGTCTCTTTTAAGCTGCTGTATTATTCTTGAAGCAATCCAACATCTCTTCTAAAATGAAATTTCAATTTACGTCTTTGCACAAGGTCTTTATGTTATTTTGATCAGATGTTTCTTTTCAAAAGGATGTTCAGTGGTTTTATAAGGGCCTTTTTTTTCTGCTTCCTCTCCAGGGGGGTGATTTTCTGCTCTGTTCTAATTTGCTAACCACAAAATGGGAAAATAATCTAAATATCGCTCTTGTCAGAAGTACTACAGAATTTCTATGGGATCAGAATCTAATCAATCATTAGAAGTTCCTCAGTAAAATCCAGATCTTTTTATATATTTCCCATATCACAACCAATTTAATGTACTTTCAGTTTATAAATGCAGGCTTCATTCAGTCTGAAACAGTAATATTCAATAAAATTTTCCCCTGATATGAGTCAAAGATGTCCTACATGATTTTTGTTCCATATTTTACTGTCTTTGCTTCCAATTAAATGATCTGTGAATACTGGTAATTACACTGCCTTCCTTTGCCAAATCACTGAAGTATCAGTAAAGGGTCATCATTTAAACAGCTACAAATTAATCACAAAAGCCAACCTTTAACACATCCATGCAGTGATTTGAATTCAGAATGTCCCCCTTATGCCTCTTCATTTTCCTTTTTTGAATTGTAGCTATTGTAGCTGTATTACATCACAGGACATTAAGCATGTTTCAGCTCATGGGACTGAGTCAGTCGTGATTTTAGAAATTGAAAGCAAATGTTATAATACTGTAAATGACAATATTTGAAGCAGCAACAGTTTCCCAATAGGCATGTCTATTTAGCATATATCTAGGTTTTCAAATTGAAAATGTAGTAGTTCTTTCACTAACTGAAACAAAAATTCTAATTTTGACAGCAACACCAGAAGATGCAAACCAAAAGGGCAAGAAAGCCAATAACAAAAGTAGAAACTATTTGTGAAATTATTCTTATTAGCTGAATTATCATGGTTAGCAGATGAAAGACAGAGATTTGTTTTTTTATATATATTTCAGTGGCTTATTAGTGAAGATTCAAACTGTGTGGCTTCCCAGCAGTGTATCATAGTATATTGAGAAGGCTGTGTAATAGTGGAAGAGAAAGAGAAATGGGATAAAAAATTAGGGCAGGATAGTTTCTTTTATATAATAAGCTATTGTAGTTTGAAATTAGAAGGTATTGGGGGCAGGAAGGGCACATTTCAAAGAGTTAACACCTTCATAGCACTGGTTCTGTTTTTATGTGGAAAGTCAGAAGAGTAGTTTGGTAGACTTACATCAGTCTATTGGGCAGAACTAGAATGTAGTGAACACCTTAAAAGAGTAAAAAATCTCACTGCATAAAATGGTCCAGAGAGATCTGTGTCAGGAGCCCAAATGCCTCCATACATGTAGCGTGTCACCCCTTCATCCTTACCATGAAATTAGTGCATAATAATGTGTTTGGATCTGCTTTCATGATCTTCACAACTTCTGCATATTTCTGTAGGCTGGCAAATATCTTCCGTGCTAGAGTATACTAATAGCTATTACTGTTTGAGTTTGCTCATGGAAAAAATAAATATATAAATTATAATAAAATACATGAAAAGAAGAACTGAAAATTGTTCATTCCAGCTGAAGGCACAAGTTTTTAACTGGCTTGGGATTTTGCAGTTGTGGTCTGCAGGTACCAGGGACCTTTTTGATGTTCCATCTGAAAAATGGCATATCCAGTTATAAACATGATGTTGGAACAGCAATTTGTTCTGAAATTGAAGAGTAATTATTGAAGGAACGGTTTAAATATTATATAAACCAATCTGACATACAAACGTGTGTTACTTCTGTTGGTTTCCATTACAAGAACAAAAAAAAGCCCAAAGAAAATCACAACAGTGAGATAACTTTTTAAGGTTTTCTCCATGATTTTTAGCAATGTTAATGTCAACGGGTTTTCCTGGAATGCAGAGCTTTTATTATACAAGGTAAATGAACTAGGATAACTATAATTTTGTTTCTTTTTTTTTTTTTTTTCCTTCTCTACAATTCCCACTGATGAATATCACGGAAAGGTAAATTTTCTTTAACTCAGAATACAGGTTAATTCTTGTCAGAGTGGCATCTAAGAAAGTTGAGATGGATGTGTTTGGTCTATTAGCAAAAGTCCTCAGCTGTTTGAAGGGAATCTGCTGCTTGGAGGAGTAATCCTTGGCAAGAACACGTGATTAACAATATGTAAATCTGCTGTCTTAGAAAGACAATGTGCCTTTTGTTGGATAAAATATCTTTCTATTTTGTACTTCCTTCTGATGTGGTTATAAGGAAAATCAGTTTTACTGGTAATTGTCAAAGATTCTTAAGAAATAAGAAAGAATAAATAAATAAATAGGAAAAATAAATGTTTGACCTTGCCTATCAGTTTCAGGATGGACTTAGAATATTTAATATCTCTTGAAAATAGAGAAACTGTGAGAAGTTTTGGCTTTATAGTTGTCCTTTAGGAGCTTGATTATAATTATTTTTGTCTCTTTCTATTTATACTCAAAAGATTGCAGTTCATAGTGTTCTTAAATATTCTTAATTTAGCTAATCTCAGTGTCTTGAGGGTTTATAAACTGTTGTTTACTATACTATATGTTTCATTTTCAGTCACTAACTGAAAAAACTTAGGCATTTAGAAAGTCTGGAACTATAATTCATTGTTGCAGGCATGATGTGATCCTGGACAGAAAAACAATGTATGAATCCCATCACATTTTAAACTTCAGTTTAGTTTAGCTACATGATGCAAGTAGTTGCAACAAGACTTCATTAGGTTCAATCATACAAAAAGGCGTTCTGATTTGGTTCACTGCAGTTGGCATCCAAACAGTTGGATTTTCCCCAGCCTACAGCTAGCACAGCTCTCTAGTCATGGGTCTGCATTGCAAGGACTAACAGTATGTCCTAGCCAAGGGAAACAGCAGAGGACAGAACAAACTGTGTTAATAGAACCCCCATCAGCAGGGTTGGAGATGGGTGGAAAGTTGACCAGCAAAGTATGATAGAAATATGTAAGACACATTTTCTGTTAGATTATTGTTTGCCAACAAATTTACCTCTGTAAAGAGAATAGCAACAATAGCACGTTTAATGACTTAGAAATCATGCTATAAATAAAGCTTGAATTCTTAGAGTATTTATCATCTCCAGTAATTTCCATTTTTAAGCACATAAATCTTGAGAACATGTTGCAATGTGGTTTTTTTCTGTTACAGTCAAACCTGAAACTGCAAGTTACAAAGGTGTCATATAAAAGCATTCTGTGTTCTCAATTGCTTTTAATTGATATTTAAGGAGTTTACTTATTTCAGGGCACCAACCTCTTTCATAAAAGCTGGTGTTCACATTCAGAAACATGTGGTATTTAAATCAGCATTACAAAAGTTTAAATCTTGAATGATGTAAAAGTAAGCACAGTGAATGACACAGTCCATGTTTTCTCTCCCGTGTTCATTTCTTTTAGTGCTGGAGTCGGCAGGACTGGCTGTTTCATTGTGATAGATGCCATGTTGGAGAGAATAAAGCATGAAAAGACTGTAGATATTTATGGCCACGTAACTCTAATGAGAGCACAGAGGAATTACATGGTTCAAACTGAGGACCAATACATCTTTATCCATGATGCACTGCTGGAAGCAGTGACATGTGGAAATACCGAAGTGCCAGCCAGAAACCTGTATGCATATATCCAGAAGCTGACACAGATAGAAACAGGCGAGAATGTCACAGGAATGGAACTGGAATTCAAGGTACTGGCATTTTATGTTGTGGGTAACCAAAACCAAATGGTCTAACACTGAAGCTGCTCTGCTCTTCACCACTTGTTTCCAGTAATCAGAAGATAAAAGACACCCTTAGACTAAAATTTTAAATTAAATGTCTGGATAAGAACCATTCAGTTGAGGTTCATTTAACCATGCTGTTCCTTTATTGTTACTATATCTTGAAATATGTGTTTGTGTAGTGATTTAATCCCAGAATTTGTCCAAATGCACTAATGGAGCAGACATTGTACTTTGAAAAGGTGTTAAAGAAGCTTTACAAATATTTGGGTAATGCAATAGAATATGGAAGAGTAAGCATCTGAAGTTGAAATTATTCATTAATGGCTACTAAGCAGAAATTATAAAACCTGATAGTGTCACTTGTCTTTGTTATACCTGGCCTTAATTCTTTTAACTTGTTTTCAACAGCGTCTTGCTAGCTCTAAGGCTCACACTTCAAGATTCATCAGTGCCAATCTTCCATGTAATAAATTCAAAAATCGCCTTGTCAATATTATGCCATATGAATCCACAAGGGTATGCTTGCAGCCTATCCGAGGAGTAGAAGGCTCTGATTATATTAATGCCAGTTTCATTGATGGATACAGGTACAAATCCTGTTGTGTTCTTATCTTTACTGTTTTAAAAGTTTACAAAATTGTTTATGTAATTATTTTGAAAAAAACAGAACAGTATAGAAATCCAGTAATTTTTTTGTCTGTTCAGGGCTTATTTGATTGGATGTTTTTTAAAAATTTAGTAAAGGGTTTATATTTTTTCCCCATGTAATATAGAAAAATTTTGTAAATTACATAGAATCTTAAATATTATATTTTAACCTGTGTTTAAGCCACTGAGAGCTCTCAGTATGCTTTACATGCTGAAAGTTAATGAGACTTCAAGCATGCTCATGATTTGGACCCCTATTTGTTCACAGTTTTTCTGCTTAAAAGGATATCTAGAAATAAGATACAGGAGATACACTCTGTGTGTCAAGGTGATAACCTACAGTCTTGGGACACTGCCTAGGACTCGATCTAACCAAGGAAGGCCTTTTGTATATAAACAGATGTGCAGCCCACTGGCCTCTTCATGACAACATGGAGCAGTATGCCCTCAGCTGACTTAGAGCAGCTGGTTGAAAAAGACATGAAAGGGAAATGGCATTATTTGCCTGTGTTTGCCATAGTTTAGGTGTGCCTGAGTATCCGTATCCACAGAGTGAATTTTCTGAGCCTCAGCTCATAATTGAAAATAAACTTCATCTCCACTATCACCCACAAAGGTATTGCTGTTGCTTGGAAGAAGCAAGAGCAACACAAACTGGTCATCATCTTATAAAGCTGTTGATGCAATCTTTTAACATTTTGGTGGTAGCTTTCCCCAGTAGGATATTAGGGCCTGGAAATTCACACTCCATTCCCAAATTTTCTTCCTGCCTTACTTTTGCTGGAGGCATCAGACTGTTGAAATGAAGTTAATAAAGAAACTGCTTGATGCTATAATTCCTAAACTTAATAGATTGCTAGACAGTTATTTCTATAAAATGAACCAGCACAACTAAGTGTTTCTTAAGTGCTTTTTACAGCACACAAAATTGAGCAATTAGAATTGCATTAAAATTTAAATAATAATGATAAAGTCATACATCATAATATTAACAGAGTAATTTTCCTCTCAAAGTTCTAAAAATAAAAAGCCATCGTTTGATTAAACAATCATAATAAGGTTTTAATGTGCTCATTATTAACAGTATATACATTTTCCCTCCAGATAATGTTTTCATATAAGCAAAGAACATGAGTATAGATCCAAAATAATACTGTAAATAATACTGTTAATCTACTTTTGTTTGTTTGTTTGTTTGTTTATTTTTGTTAACATAGACAACAAAAAGCTTACATAGCTACACAGGGTCCTTTAGCAGAAACAACTGAAGACTTCTGGAGAATGCTCTGGGAGCATAACTCTACAATTGTGGTCATGCTCACTAAGCTACGAGAAATGGGCAGAGTAAGTACTGCTCTAATATTCCTTTACTAAAATGTTGGTTGCAGCAGCTCTTTTCATTAAAATATTTAATTCTTAGGGATATCTAAAGATAAGAATTTTGGTTCCTTCTTCTTTTGAAACAGGAGTGGCCTTCCTGGTCATAGATGTAAATTTTTCCAATCTAGACATGGTGTGTTTGTGTGGGACACATTGAGATTGAGCAAGAGAGACCATTGTTGTCTATTGAAAAAGAAAGATCTCTCTTTTGGAAACTTCACTTTTGCAGCATCTCATTGTAACAATGTTAAAAGAAAGTGTGGTATTTTTTAGATTGGAATGTCTTCTGTGTGTTCTGTGCTGCACATGAAAGTTTCATCCCCCAGTTTGCAGTTCTAAACTCATTTCATTGGTACTCTGCCTGCTGGAAGGAATGAAGTAGTCTGCTGTCTGGACAGGATTACATCAAGAGAAAGCTGGCATCTGATAAGTGAAATCTGAGTTAGACCATGTGTCTGAGAGAAAAGAGATTATTCAGGACATGGCTAGTGGATGAGTAGTGACTGAGGATAGAGTAGTGACTGAGGCCGGGGGGACTTGCTCCAACAAGCAAAAAGGAAGAAAACTGAAGGTGGTATCAAGATTTAAATTGAGATAAAAATTCACCATTGAAAATTAGATTAAGGATAGCTCTTGTCGCTGATAGATAATAAAACTGAGCAGAAGTATAAGCAAGTTCAGATAGACAGCAATCAATGAGAAACCCTTTGCAATGCAGTATTAAAGATAACTTCTTACTCTACACCAACACAAGCAGTCCATGTTCCTGTCACTATTGGCACGTTCCATGAATATTATACTTAGCTGAGTAAAAAAGGGTTTATACCAGTTTATGGTAGTGCTCTCAAATAATAGGAAATGTATTTTACTTTGTTATTTCATAGGAAAAATGCCACCAGTACTGGCCTGCAGAGCGCTCAGCCAGATACCAGTATTTTGTGGTAGATCCAATGGCAGAGTACAACATGCCACAGTATATTCTGAGGGAATTCAAGGTTACAGATGCAAGGGTAAGTCAACATAACATTACATTTGTTACCATAAGTATAAAAGAAAATGTTTACTTCTTTCTTTTTTCTGTGTTTGGGGGTTTTAGAATTTTTACTATTATTAAGAAAACCCAGAGATATACTTTCTACAAGCAATAATAAAAAATCAGATGAAGTTATTTTTAAATAAATGGGATCTTTCTGTAGGAATGATTGACTTCATTCAGATCTAGCATCTGGGTAGCACAGTTTTATAGTTCTGAACTATTTGTGCCAAAATACATTAGATTATTTGAGAACCATTTTCCTCTTTTTCCTCATTTTCCCCTTGATCATTATTGGCTACAATTTTTGCAACATAGAGTGTTGTTTTGTTGTTTTGCACCGCCCTTGAGGCTGAGTGAGTATGAAGGTTAATATACTGAGATTTTAAAACTGCAAAGCAAATTACATTCATAAGAAAAGCTGGACAAGCTTTGCACATTATAATTTGATTTTTCATGTAGTATATTTTCAGCTCTCTAGTATATCTGCAGAGTAGATACATGCAGCTGTGACCTTAGCATCCTCATTTTCATACTTCATTTCTTATCTGAATTCCTGAGTCCAAAACTGAATACTCATATAAGATTAAACATACATAAACTTTTAATATATATTTGGTGTTTCTCAGACTTGATTTCTAACATTTCAGTCTCTGTGGTAGGAAAACATACTGTCAGCCTCTGTTTCTGTAGGCACTGTGGAATAATACTTGTTCAAGCAAAACAGCAGGATGTAATGTCTACGAATATCATGAGTGTCTACTCAGAGTTGTCTGTCAGCATCTGAAATATTAGACTTCCTCATGGTTAGCTAGACCACTGCTTTTAATGTGAGCATCAGGTAAAATTGGGTAGTATTGTTATTATTGTATCAAGTGAGCATATGAACCTTTTGTTTGGCAAATGAGATTCGGGTGTAGATTTTTGTAAAGGAACTGTAGATGCATTGGATCTGATTTTCATTCTATTTGAAATGTGAATCATACGACTCATATCTTCTCTAGCCTATTTGTGCTTAAGAAAAGTGGAGAACAGGCTCCTAGCATCAGTCTTTAAACATGCTTGCAAGCAGAGATAGTCAAATCCAATTTCACTGCAAATATCCTGATAGTTTTAATTGATTTTCTATTAAAAGACTGTCTCAAGTTGGAAGAATTATTGTGTGACATAGTTCACAAAGCTCTGATCACAAAATTACAGTTATAACAAAAAGCCATAGCTGTAATCAAAGTGTCCCCAAATATTTTGTATTTTAAAAAAAGTTCCCTCAAGACTTTGTATTGAAGTAGAATATTTAGGCAAGTCTGCTTACCTACAGCTATCAAACCTGTAAAGGGCCAAATAATTAAATAATTAAATTTACCAGAACTAATTTTATTTGGCATGATATTAATAAACCTCTTTTAGAAAGCATTAAGCACATTGAAGGTCCCGATATAACATTTTACTGTCACATGTTATTGCTTCTCAAATTTTAAAAACCTCCTTATCTTGGTGGTCCAAATTTTGTTCAGTGAGCTGACAGCACCATCCTAAATTTTCTAGTTATGCTGGAAAACTATATCTCCTTCTGAAATTACTGGAAGTTGGAAATTCTTACCAAAATGTACATTATAGTTTTTCTCTAGTTAGGCTTGTGTGGCTGTCACGCCCAGTAATTGAAATCATTTGACTAAATTGTTGCACTCAAAGAAGAGTAAATGCTGGAGTGATTGCAAACGTCCTCTGTCCCTCTCATCTCCAAATCCATCTGTACTGTTACAACACCATCCGTGCTCTGGCAGAGCCAACATGACCAGTTATTCCACAAGGACAAAAACCAAGGCACTGTACCTGTGTAGATGCCACCAGCAAGTGTCTGCTGTGGAACTCTTTTATTTCTGAAACTGAGCTGTGAGTTGTTGTGTGGTGAAGTTGACTTCAGTAACTGTTTCGAGGTATTGCTTCTAACTGCTTTGTACTCACTTTCTCTGGAAACCCAAGAGGTCAATATGTTGGGCCAGTCTTATTTAAGGCTAAACTATTAGTGATGCCTGTAAGAGAGTAATATCCATTCTAAAGCATAATCAAAAGACAATTGAATATCCCCTGTGAGGAGGAAGAATAAATCCAAACGGTCAGCCACTAAACAGGATAAAACATTAAAAGCCCACTGTGCCACACAGGGATTTTAAAGTACTTATTTTGATAACCAACTGTGCAAACTGTCACAGTATTTAAAAGTAAAGATTTTATTAAAATTTGGCATTTGTATCTGGACTGCTGTTGGCAAGAATCTCATTAAAAGAAATCAACACTCTTTATAATGTCAGTGACAGAGGGAGCTGTAAGAAATTGCAGATCAGTTCCCCATATGCTTTAATGCTAGTCTAACATAGACTAAGTAACTTTATTTCTCTGCTCATTAAATAATATTAAATAACAGAGATTATTGTCATTTCACAGACTTGCATTGGAATACTGAGTTACTTAAATCATGAAACATACTAATACAGTTGATATATACACACCAAAAAAGAAATACTTACCATTAGATCTATTTATGACAGAGAAATGTGTTAACTTTCCAGTGACAGACTGGACTTAAACAAATTAGTGTCTTCCTTACTTATTCTACCTGGAAAAAGTAAGTTGGATTTCAGGTTTTCCTTTGCTTTGAGAGAATAGAAGGTTATTTTGAAGGGAATCAACCTGTACTTGTGTCTTCTTGATAAATTTATATCATCTGCCTAAGGCTATCTGGAGGATGCAATTTCATTATGTCTTTTTTGGAGAAAATGGGATTATGGAAGCCATTATCAGAGATGTTTGTATTCACAAAATGCCATTTTTGGAACTAAACATTTAGTTCTTTGTGTTGATGCCCACAATAAATCCAATTGGGTGAATATTTTCAAACATTACCTATTTGTCTAAGTGGAAAAAATTGTTTCACAGATACAGGTCACTAAATTGTCGGTGTGACCTAGTGGAAATACACACTGTGAGAGTTCTCTCATGAAGTAGTTGCTGGCACACACACATTTTTTCTGTTTTCCTCGCTCATCTGAGATACAGGAGGCAAAATCCCACAGAACCAGAGGAAATATAAAAGCAAATTATTGGGGTTTCCTTTGCTTATATTTAAAATCACTTCTATATAATTTCAAAGGTCTGTAGCAGTTGAATTCTTGTGGTCTAAGGAAAAAGAGAGAAAGATTATTCCTGCCTCCAGCATAACTTGCTGCTTTTTGATGGGAATCTCCAGTAATAATGTCAATTTTTCATGACTTTTACATAGAAGAAAGTTCAATTTTTCAAGAGTTTCACTTAATAGAAGACCATTTTGAAGACATGACAGGGTAGGTGCTTAGAAAACATGATGTCTAGAGGCACCAGTTAACATCACTGGCTCATATTGCCATGATTTTAAACATTACAGACGTGCAGATTGACAGTGTCAAAATCATCAATGTTTGAAAATGCAGAACAAATTTGCTTTATTCATTTGTATTGCATTTTTATGTGTCCTGACTTTTTGCTCATTAAATAGGCAGATAGCACAAGTTGGCATTTAGTAATTCCAGTGGCTTCATTATAAAAACAACCATGATGCTGTATTCTGCACTTTAAAGAAAAACTGTTAGTATTCTTAACCATGGGGATTGAAGAGCTTCAGATGGCTTGTTTTAAGAAAGGAAGCCCTTCTTTTCAATTTTAACTAACTCCAAGCTGTTGCTGAATTAAATGAACCATTATTGAAGAGAAATTTGTTAAACCACCAGCTTGTTTATCCATCTTCTTGCAGGAAAAATGTTCACCTCATGGAAGGCAGCTTACTGTTAAAGATAACATCTGCAAGGAGGGCAATGACTTAAACAAGTCTTATCAGTAAAGATATTCCTGCTGACAAGTAGTTGAGCATATCTCAGAAATGGAAAGCCAGATTAGATGACCTTATTCTACCTGATCTGTATATAAAGGAATTTGTATTCCACGGGATTCAAAACATAATATACCAAAAAAGTCATATACCCGTCATGGGGTTGTTATAGCTTTGACCTCAAGCACAATTTTTACACCATCAGAATGCCAGGCAACTCTCCTATGCAGTGTGGAAGAGAATCCATGCAATACGGTTACTGAAACTCATAATAGTACTTTTGGGGTGATACAAAAGCTTTAATAGTAGTACTGCAGTTGAAAGAGTTTCCATAAATGTAATCTTAGCCATTCCCCATCTCCTCTCAACATCCTTACTTTGTGATTGTCTTTATGATTATTCACTGACCAACTTCAAGCCACAGCAACGTGCTTTATTTGTGTCTAACTTTTGTTAAAGGATGGCCAGTCCCGAACAGTGAGGCAGTTCCAGTTCACTGACTGGCCAGAACAAGGAGTGCCAAAGTCTGGAGAAGGATTTATTGACTTCATTGGCCAAGTGCATAAAACAAAAGAGCAATTTGGTCAGGATGGACCAATTTCTGTTCATTGCAGGTAAGTAAACAAAGCTTAAAAACAAATTATATGCAGATTTGTTTTTTTCCTAAAGTTGATTGCTGATTGTGGTGAACGTGTATATTTAAACAACATTTCAGAGGTGAAGTGTCATATCATGTAATCAAATAGAGGATCTAAAATGGAACAGCATGAACTGCTTTATGAAATGGGAACTGTTCTGTGATATTCCATTTATACAAAAATGGTTCTTCAGAAATATGTGGAAACACGTGATTTTTTCACATATAAATGCTTCTAATTCAGCATAAAAGCAGTCTGGTCAGTGCTGCCCACAGAAGGCATAGGAAGAGCCTTATCACAAGCTGCTACATGTGATATTTTTTCCACTAGAAATTAAAGGCTTTTACTTCAGTCGGAATTATTATCTGCAACCAAGCTAGTTACACCTCAGTGGCACATTAGTAGCAATCAAGATGAGGCAAAAAAAAAAAAAAAAAAGGTAGCTATCTCAAGAAAGGGAATGGAATAGAAAGTGGTGTTTAGAAATTTTGCCTGTCAAAGAAATCATTGAAGTTTGAGTTTATGAGTTCTAGCTTCAGAACTTTGTGCTCATTTTTGATGTGATGACTTCCCTTCTTTGCAATTGATATGCAGATGAAAATGACTTGCATGGTGGTTAGAAATAATCCAGCATGGGTTTTTTAATATTCTTGTATTTTTTATTTATTTCCTCTACAGTATTCTAGAGTCTATAGCAGATGGCCAAAAATAATATCTTTATCTCTTATCTCTTATTTAATAAATTGTTTTCTATAAATTCCATTAGGATTTTAGATACTCATTTTTGTAATATGAAATTCTTTTTTGTAGATTAAATATTATTATTTATATAACAGAGATGCAAAATACTCACACAAGTTGCAAGTTCTTACTGCAAGCCAAGTGGTGCCCCAATACTATCATGAACACAAATGAATGAGTTTACTAGAGCCTAGTAAACAGAGGGAGAGAAATTTTCCTCTTTCCAAAGTCATCGGTAAACAGAATTTGAGTTCTTTATGATCCTCTAATCTGAAAGACAGACAAAATAAATGTGTTGGAATACTTGAATCCTACTTTTCTTGTGTGCCTTAAAATTTTTATAGGCTGCTGAGGAGAGTAGCATGCAGAGCACTGATTGGGATTCATTACACAAGGGGGATGAAGAACAAACCAGATAAGAATAAGCCTTATTCTTCAACATTAATGAGTTTTGAGAGGTCAGGAGTAATAAGCAATATTTATGCCTTTATGCAGATAAGAAAGCCGAGCAGTATTTTTATTCTAGGTTCTTTGTGCCATGCAGACTTGTCCACTTGTGAATACTGTGAATGCTTCTTCCATTACATTACATATCCCTCCCAAATGGATGTGATCTTTCATGGTAAAATTATGGACTTCCGCCATTGACATTGCTGGAAACAAAGTCAAATGCAGTGTAACTAATCATGGCTTGGTTTTTAAATGTCTTTATCATTATTGTAATGACTATTTAGGGACTGGTAATGCTAATCATCATTGCCAGTGTTAGTCAACTTACATGAATAGGAAGTGTCCCTAGCAAATTAGTAAGTTTGTGTATTTCTTTCAGGAAACACAAGATCCTGGATACCTGTGCTTTCCTAGTCTCTGAGGAATTACTGAAATAATGCCTCCAGTTTGTACTATGATGAGTTCTACAGTGAATTAAAACACCCCTAGTGTCACTTCCTTTGGGTCTCCTTTACACTCTATATAATTTTCACAAGCTTGCTTTCTCTGTTATGCAGTAAACCCCCCCAACCCACAATTCTAAATTTTCTTTTTCTGTAACATTTTTACAAATAGGTCAGTGTGTTGAATGAAAAAATTTCTAACCTCATGAGGCAGATATTTAAAACTATTTAAGAGAGCAATGGGCTATTCATCTTGAAGTAAAATTTTCATTTAAACCAATATTAGATATTTATAGTCTTTTTATTCCAGCTTTTAGCTCAAGACTGAGGAAGACCTTTCCCAGAATGCAGTCAAGATGTATTTGTAATAATAAACTCTTCTCTCTTACAAAAAATCAATACATCCACATAGTTCATTTAAGCATCTCAACTTTAGTTTCTAGTCTAAATTATGAGTCATGGGGACTTATAATGCATCATGAAGGATTTCTTTACTCTAGAAATCCTAAGCATTTTTGGATAGGAATTGTTCCAATGTTAAAGTATGTTTGCTACTCTAAAGGGAACAGGATCAATATCCCGTAGGCTTTTCTCAAGACATTACACTTGATGACCAATTAGGATTTGCAAGCATTGACATGTTTCCATATTAGTTTCTCTTCCTCATTAAGTCTCTCCTGGAGACATTTGCTGATTTTTTAAGTACCCAAGACAACAAAGGAATTTCTTCCTTTTGCCTGAGATTTCCAAGTAATTTTTTTAAAGTAACAAAGATTTGTCTGTTGTGAGGCCAGAATGCTCTCACACATGTAAATATTTTTCTTTTAGTGAAATAGCAGAGCAGGACAATGTAAAATGGTAGTCTGTGTTCATTCTCCTGGTCATTTCCTGGGCTACTTAGTTTAGATCACACTGTAATCAGGTCTGCAAAGTTCAAGCTGGTTCCAACGAGCAGGTTCCAGGATTTTTCAGGATGTTTCTGAAGTACTAGCTGTCTAATTTACCTCATCAGGCACCTTGCGCTGCAATTGCTTTAGATGTCCAGGACTGTTATTATATCACATAGGTAAATCACCACTGACAACATGATATTCTGTCAAGTGGTGTGTCAGTTGTCCTTTGGCTTCAGCAATCTGAAAGCACACATCCTATGCAAAATTTATAAATCCAATTGCATATGTCTAATAGCCCTAAAAGAGCTCTGACCTAGACCAAACACTAAGATACCATCATACAATTTGAACATTCAATTTCCACACTACTTTTGTGAATTTGCTGGATTTCTGTCATAGTTCATACAAACATTCAAGAGTTCTTCACGATTTTCCTGTTGTTCATGCTGCTCCATTCATCTATCTGGTGAATAGGTCTCATAAATATTCAGCTTTCCAGGGTTATCTGGCTGTAGGAAACCTTGTGAAATTATTAGCATCAACCGTGAGATGACAAGGTGCTTGGTTTCCATCCATAGAGGTTCAGACTTACAAAGTCTTTTTCTCTGTGTAGTTACCTGTCTCTTTTGCAAAGGATAATCATCTTGAATAAGTGATTGTTTAATTTTAAAAGCTGACAGCTATTGGCTCTATTGATGGCAAGAATTTCCATCACTTCTTGAGGGTTAAAGCGAATAGCAGAAACCCAGGGCAGAACACAGAGCAAAAAAAACACATATATACTCAAAGAATACTTTTAAGACCAATGTAGACAAACACGGTAAATGTATTTCAGCATTGGAAAGCAAAGATCCAGACTGCCAGACTTGAATAAGGCCTCAACTGAGATCTTTCTCTGTCCATTATTTGAATCGGACCATGTATGAACAAGTTCAATATTAAACGAACATCCGTACTTCAAACTTAAAGTAGAAGGTAAAATAACACAGAGAAGATGTGCAAAACAGGGCATATACATGACAAACTAAAGTAAAGCAAGCAGTAAAATGCATTTTGGCTTCATTTTCTCTTGTCAGTTCCAATGTATGCTATTGGCAACAAATATTAATATTTGCCTTCACCATGCAGTGATTATTGTATATCTGGATGAACAAATCAAGCCTTTGCAAGGAAGACTGGAGAGTCTAGATGTAATCAGTAGATGTGAGGTTCACTTGAGTGCAGTTATTCTTTTGAATGCAATGTGGTAATTTGCTATGGAATTTTGCTTAGTGAGCCTTTCCCCATATAGCAATTTATACACATATGGTGTGTTGTAACCACAAAGAATTTGTCAGCCAATTCTTTCAGCATTAACTGTCAATTAACATTTGTTTTTTCCTTTTATTTTGTCTTCATTTTCTTCAACAGTGCAGGTGTTGGAAGGACTGGAGTATTCATAACCCTAAGCATTGTGCTAGAAAGAATGAGATATGAAGGCGTTGTAGACATCTTCCAGACTGTCAAAATGTTAAGGACACAGCGGCCAGCCATGGTACAGACAGAGGTGAGCAAGAGTATCCTTATGCAATGGTGGTGGAAAAGAAATGGTATTTACACAAGCAAAAATATGCACAGATAGATACTGTATAAGACATGCTTACAGTAATATCTGAAGACATATATTGGCCCTGTGACTACAGGGTAAAATCTGTAATAGGACTATTTCCTGTTATCACAGTAGTTACTGCAAGATGAGGAAGAAAAAAAAGTCATTTCAATAGTGGATCCTAAATTATGGTAGTTAAGAAATACCCATTTGTGAAGCATGACACATTTTTATTTGATCCATGCTCTCTGGCAGAAATGTGTGGTAGTAGAGAAGCAGGCAAATTGTTTCTGCAGGTGGATCCTCTGATTTTATTTTTTTTTTTCCCTGGGAGCAAGCTCTTGATTATGTCTTCAGAGTGACACTGTATTATTTTCATGGTTTTTTGTGTCACCAAGCAAGTGGCTCCTTGGCCTGAAAATCATAATGGTAAATTCAGCATTCAGGATAACTATAGTGTAAATAATTTCTATGCTATTAAGTGTGGCATGGAGAAATAAAGAAAGTGATAAGCAGTTTAGACTAGTTACCTGTGCCTGTATGCTTGGAAATCTGTCACATCATAAAGAATGCTTAAACATTATCAATTAATGCCCTTAATTTTTGCCTTAATTTCTGAGCAGAAGACCTGGACTAAGCCAGAGCCAACAGGTTAGGAGGACCAACAAAAAGGAAAAGAGAAGGGAAACATTTCAGATCACACATTTATTTAGTATAATTTGGTTGACACAGGCCTTTAAATTAAGTCTGTGAAATTTAAGATGGTTCCCCAGAGTTTGCCATTTTCCACAAGAAAATTAAACTAGTTCTGTAGAAGCTGGGTAGTTTTATTTCTAAGAAGACAACTTCATAAAGCTTATATGAAAAATACAGATACTTATTTTTAATCGTGTCAGTTAGCCAAGTAAATCACTGTGACCATACTGAAGAGTTAATTCCATTTCTTTTCCATTACCATCATTCTTCTGGATAAGCAAAATGAAAAATGACTGCTTTCTGTCATTTTGGCTGCAAGAAATAGCTAAAGTACACAGAAACTATGCTTCCTTGAGCCTACCTGACAGATGCAGAGTTCAATTCTGCAATATATGCTCCCTCCTCCTGCTTTGACTAATTTCTGTATGCTACCCTTCATCCCTGCTGCTGAAAGCAGAGGTGTTCTGTAGACATGTCTTCCAGGATTCTGTGGCAAACAAATCTCTCATTCAGTGTTATAAACTGCCAGGAAATCTAATCCTTATTAAACAAAGCACTTCCATGTGGACCATACGCACACTTAAAATTTAAGCATGTGTGTAATGTATTCTGCCACTGTTCTAACTATTCCAACTAACAGAAATGAACTATGAGTAATCATGCTACCTCAGTGAAGTAAATATCTGATTAGTTTCCTGGCCTCTGAAAGAATTTTAATTGTGATCTTAACAACTGCAACCTGTGCAGTTACCACACAGCACTATCAGAAAAGCAAACAGACATCCCTGGTATTTTTGAGAAATTTCTTTTATTTTTGTTTTTTAAAATTTTTTTACTTTTTACCATTTAAACCAAGAATGGCAGTTGGAAATAAATACGTAGATGTGCCATTTTAGTGTAAATGTGCAACAACATAAATGTGCAAAAGGACTGCTTTATGGAGGTGAGAATAACAGAAACTTACAAATGTTAGATTCATCTGAGGTATGAGAAAATTTCTCAGCACACTAAACTTCTCTCTGTTTCCAGGTATAGGTTGAAATGAAGTCTGATTTAGGTGAATGAGGTCCTTTAGCTCTATATTTCTCCTTAGGTCTTTTTCTTGCCAAGGTATCTTCACATCTTCATCAAAGCCTGTCTTACTGAAAGGCTGGAATTCCCTTTGCTTTCTTTGCATGATTTTTAAAGTGATGGTTTTCCATACAGAATTCCATATTCAAGCTGTGATGGACCCTTTTACTTAGTGTGTTGTATTAGCTGTAGAATTCATTGTTTATTTTGCTACTTATTTTCAAATACAAGCAGGGAAAGCATTCTAGCATGTTCCTATCAGAAGAAAGCTTAATGCTGATATTGTTTTAATCCAGAATAACAGACTGTCAGTAGGTGGGTATATAGTCTCTGCACAAAAAGAAGCTCCATTCTGTGGAAAATGTTGTTGCATTAAACGACTGTCTATCTGTTGTAACTCAGAGTGGTTTTCTGTTGGTGTCAGGCAACTGAATATTGCTGAACTGCAGATGCCTATGCAGTATATTTGTTTGCAGCTACAAAATATTCACTATTACTTGAAAGAAACTGGAAACCAACCAACAAGCTGACTTTTTGATGCATTTGTTTTCTGTTTTTCTTTCTCTAGGATCAATACCAGTTCTGCTATCGAGCCGCACTGGAGTATCTGGGCAGCTTTGATCACTATGCAACATAAAAACCCATTGTGGATTTTTATTGCAGGCCCTTTAAGATCCAGAGAGCCGCTTCTGAGCCATACAATGTGCTTTAGAAGTACTTCTTAACTCTTAGCTAAGGAGCAATTATTGGGGATATATAAAATAAAAAATAATAAAAAAAGAAACAAATGAACAAAATATTGGGGATATATAAAACAAAAAAACAACAAAAAAAAAACCCCACCCAACAAGAAGTATTCCATGTGGACCAAGAATTCACAGTTTAATAACCTAACCATAATAAAAGAATCCTGACCACTGAGGCGTCTGAAGGATCTCATTTACAGATACCTCAAGGGTTCGACATTGGTTGAAGTTAAAGGGAAGAGGAAACTTAATCAGAAAGAGTGATCATCTTATTCAGGATTACATGATTTTGCAAAGAAGAGTTTTGAGAACTGCAGTTCAGTGCAAGATGTTTGTTGCAAGGTTGGGTTCTGGCTTCTCAAACAAAGCGGACTCTTTACTTCAACATCACCGTTTCCCATCATACTGCTCATCATAACACTTAAGGGAAAATGTGGGAATGTTTAAAAAGAAAGTCCTTGATTTAGTTTTTTAGTATTGTAAAGATACTGCTGACCTGTGCTTCATTTTTAACTGTGTAAACTTTTTCCTTTTTTTAACAAGAGTGTATCATTCGATGAAGTGAATTAAAGAAAAGGTTGCATAACTGTTAATATTTTTGTTTAAAAATGTAGATTTTTTTTAAGCTGTAGAACTGTTATCTGTAATATTGTGCTGTAGAAATGTTAGATACTTTGAAAATTTGCACATTTTTGTGCAGTCCTACAGTACCACAGTCTTGTTAGATATGAATTCTGTAGTTTTATTTGGGTTTTTTTTCTTTAAGAAAATATTCATTGTAATCAGTTAAATCAAAATGGGGCTTTTGGTTTATTTTGGAATCAACAGGGAGGCGCAAAGTATAAAGATGCTGCTAGCACATACACACACACGCACACATATGCACATGCACACTCACACCCTCTCTCTTTTATATATATATATATGTATTACTGTCTACCCTTTTTTGACTCTCTGTATAGTTGCAGAGAATACAGATGGATTCAGATACAGATTCACACACATGCACATAAACATATCAGTCCTTACATACCTGGATTTATGAAAGCATTGGGAAAGTTTTTCCACATACTACAATTATATCAGACTGCAATTTGATCATCTCTGCATTTTTGAGGTCCATAAACTTCTGTTTCAAAGAGAAGTGAGGAATGCACATCATTGATATTTGAATGCCATCTCTATCCCAAATAATATTTCTATCCACATTTCCACCTGAACACACACACATGCACACATGCAGAGCACACACATGCACACACGCACACAGAGTATGTGATTTAGGCTTCAAGTGAAGTTCAATATTTGTAACACTATAGTGCAATAAGAAATCATATTATTAAATGTAGGAGGTGTGCATGTGGGAAAGGTCAGTGCATATCCCTTTAGGAGGGGAGAATGTTGTAATATACTAGGTATTAAGATGTTTTAAAATTGTATTCAATAGTATACTGTCTATAGTGTGCGCTATATAATTTACATTTATTGTATGTAACAGGGCAAAGCCAAACACACATTGCTCTGTGAAATCAAACGTTTTGTGGCATACAGCATTGTTTGGGGATGCTGGGGTTTATTTTAATTTTACATTTAGAGTGCCTTATATTTGATGCCTATTTTGAATAGTATTTCTTTAAGTTAGCCTTCATTTGTATTTAGTTTAGTTTGTTTATATCTCTGTTGTTCTTTTCAGACATTTTAATACATGTACCAGACAATTTTGAAAAATATGCATTTCCAGTTTCTAATCAAGTATGGATGGTAATAAATGATAACCCAAAACATATAGGTAGTCAAGGCCCTTTATCTTTCCATATTTCCAATAACAGAATAGCCCACAAATTGGAAATCTATTTCTGGTTGGCTTTTCAAACCCACTTTGTCACTGGTTATAGTGTTATCTGTCATTGCCGAGCTGTAGCAGCACAGTAGCAGTAGTTGACAGCAGCAGTGCTTATGCATCTTCCTTTTTTCTTTTATTTTCTTTTTTTTTTTTTTCAGATTTATTTTGGGCCAAGTCCTGCTCATTCACTTGTGTCAACAGATTGCTAAAGTCAAACCCTTGCTTTCAGTGGGAAGGTTCATGTAAGGCCAGCAAGACTGAGCCCACATGACATATTGGAGATTGACAGATTTTATTCCAGGAAAAAGGAAAATTCTCTAAACAGCACAAAGTACTTTTTGAGACTCTTTCTAGAATGCCGTTTACATTGACCTTGGTCAGCATGTGTTCTGCCATTGTTAGTACATCAGCATCAAAGGATGCTTTCTTTGGGGTTTCAAATAGGAGCATTGCTGTGGCTTCTCCATGTGGCCTCAACGTTTTTAGTTCTTCTTCCAATTTTCCCACTCCTATGAGAAGTAAAAATAAGAAAGACCAAACTCCAGCAATTGTATTTGAGCACTTTTGTAATGAAAAAAACCCAAACCAAAAAAATCAAAACCGAAGTATAAATATATATATATATGGAATAGAAGTATTATAGAAGGCTACCTCAGAATGAGATTCTATAACTTACATCTGAACCAGAGAAGAATGTGCACTATGTTTCTTTCTCTTCTTCTTTCTTGATTTATACGTTGAAATAATTATTAAAATACCAGGTTATGTAGTGTGGTCATATTCTTCAACTCAAACATAGGAATTCAGAAATACAAAACAAAGTGTCATTTTGAAAACATGGACTAAGGAAGGTTCCTGCACACTGGATCTCTACAAAGATCAGTGCATTTTCCCTAGCAGGCTGTCTTGCAAGATCCAACAAAAATAAGGGAGTAAAAGAAATACAAAAAAGCAGAGCCAATTTGTGAGAAAAACTGTTGTACAACTAAATACTCCTTTCAGGTTTTTTGTTTCTTATGATAGTTCTCAGCATCATTGATGTGCATTCCACTTTCTGTATTCCAATATATGTATTCTACAGTTAATTTAAATTGTGAGCATCTTTGTCTACATACATCATACATTTCCAAGCTTAAAATTGGTTTCATCAGCATAACCAGTACGGTGCTATTATTTACGTTTGTATGTGTAGTTATGTCTAATTCTGTAATTAGTTGCAATGGGGAAAAAAACCACAAAATATATAAAAATGATTTATACAAAAGTTTAATTTAGCTGTTTTTTAAAAATTTATTTGAGTGGTTAGATAGCAGAGAAGATGGCTGGGGGAAGGAGTGACCTTCTAAGGAGATTTGCACTTTCTATATATACCTTTGTACTATGCACTGCCCTATTGATTCTACACCCAATAATAACTTGAACCCATCTGTAAGAAATTGCTTACAAAACCCACTTGTATGTATTTAAAAGACACAGAACATGTAAAAGGAAAAAAAAGGCAACTGCTTTTTTTGCTTCCTTTTATTCTCTCCCATTTTTCTTTTTTTTTTTTTTTTTTTTTTTTTTCTTTTTTTCTTTTTTTTTTTCCCTTGGTGCCCTGATACTCCACAGATATCAGAAGGCTGCAGGTCTCATTATAACCATCCATTATGTGGCTTTGCCATTCAAGCTTGGAGTGTCTTTACAAAGATAATAAAAACTTGTGTTCTTTGCTCTTGTTTTGGATGCATAGACTGAAAAACTTTAAAAAATTACCTTGTAAAATGGCTTGTTAAAAAAGATACAATTACCTCTAATTAGTAGTACGCGTAAATGTTTTACAGAATGAAAGGCGTGCTTTTTATTTTCTTACTTCGTTACATTGGTGGCAAAAGGAAGTCTGTATGAAAATCAGTTCTTTGCTGACACAAGTTCCATTTGTTACAGATGAATTCTAATAAAATGTCAGTGTTATGCAGCCCTGGTCTTCTTTCTTAAGCAGTACTTTTGAAATCAAAACTTGTTTGGTCCCTCTTGGTGATAAAGGAGTTTAATTGAAACTACAAAGCAGTCATTAATCTTCTTAACTAGCTGCTGGACAGTGGAAAATGCATTCTTAGGTTAGAAAATATATATCATCTTCAGCAGCAAGCTTTGAGCCAGCATAGGCAAACCCTTTGGCATAATTTCTCACAGTTTCATCAGCTTAATTGAAATTACCACACTTTACATGCCTCTGGAGTTCCCCTTTGTTCTTTAGAAATGTATCACTACACTGAGAGAATAGATTGTTCTCCATTCCTAGGTGCAACTCAAATATCCACACATTTGAGGTAAATTGTGAATTTTTAATCCCTGCAGATTTAGCAGCTTTTGGGGTAAATCCAAAATCAGTATTCAGTCCCTGGAATTGTTGCAGGCTGTCATGAGTTTTGACTGATTTCTGTTATGCATTGCATATGCAGTGAGTGCAAATGTGAGTCTGTGAGGCTACTATCCAAATACTGTGGTAAAGTTTTTAAAGAGGTTGGAAAAGTTTTAGATGAGTAAACACACCAGGTGTATCGAGGCAAGCTACAAGGGGCATGGCATGGCAATCTATTCAAAGAAAACAAGTCTTGCTCTGTCTGCTTGTTTTGAAAGAAGGCAAGTTCTGTCTCCAAGATTACTTTGTAAGAGAATACAGTCTATTAGCAGTTAGTATTAAGTACATGTTAATAAAGAGTTCTCTGTGCTGGAAGGATGTGCACATTAGGGTGATTTCGAAGAACGTGTATTGTTCTTGGCCTAATTTCCACTTGAAGATGGTGATAATAGTGTAAATGTGAAGCCTTGGTATTCTTACAGAGGCCTATTAATGTTTTTCCACTGACTTCTGTGGATTTTACAATTACTGCATTGCAGGCTGCCTTTGACTTGAACCTTTTTTGCGTAGTCTGTGCAAGGTGGTTTAGAGCTGTGTTATGTAAGGGTTTCTTTAACTATCTGAGTGGCTTTAGATGGTACCCTTTAATGTCAGCATTGACTTCTTTGGATTTTCCTGTTCTGTGCGTCTAGCATGGACCATAATAAAGTGTGAAAATGAGTATTGACAAAAATATTTGGCTGTGTATGGCTTAATAACTTCTAAGTTAATGGGGTTTTAACAAAAGTAAGTTCTAATTCATGCTTAACACAGAAAAAATGCCATGTACTTCGAGATCATTACTGTTCAGGAATGCTGTTGAGATATGAAATTAACCTATCTCAAAGCAAAGCAATAGCTACAGACCTTCAAACACAATAACATTTACATCTTTTCTATATTATCCAATCACTTGGACCAAATTCCCGAATTCCCAGAATCTTTGGTGTTCATTAGTGTCTCCCCAAATGGGTCAGTCCTGATTCTAAGGTAATAAGAGATTTCCATCTATAAATTTACCCATTGCCTGCTTTTCCCAGTCTATGCAGACAAAGGGAGCTATTGGTAATGGAATAAACAAAGTACTGAAAAAGTAATGATAAGGAATGTATGAAAATAAATCATTCATTGACCAGTGCCCAGTCCATTAACAACTGGATCTGTACCTAGTGATCCCCAGTTGGATCACTGGTCAAAAAAGGGAAAGGAAAAAATCTTTCTAGAAATTGCTATGTCTTTTTTACTTCAGATGCAAACATGCCCTCCCCCCCGCTTAACCGGTTTTAAGAAGAATGAAGTTAAACTATTTTTCACAGACTTTGGAATTTTGAGGAAAATAACCAACAAATGTGCTGATGTGTAAGCCAACATACCATTGATAAACCACTTCCCCTTCCACAACGCTTCACGTGCAAAAAGACATCTATCTTGCCCATGGACTTGCTGAATTCTATGAAATAGCTTTGCATTTTGAAACCTTGAAATATGACAGCTTTAGATCATTAAACTTCAACAGCACTG